CAGATTTCCTTTACAAGCAATTGATTATCTGCAACTCTTGTATAGTTCTGCCGCTCCCTGAATGTGGGTAGTTGGTGATATAGTGATGGATGCTGTCAGTGGACGAAGGATTTCCCCACAGAGCCATTCACTGAGACTCTGATAAAGACTCGTACACTAACAAAATGACATTTATGATACTTTAGAGGGGAGAAGCACAAATCTATCATCATGAATCAGTGCCATGAGTGAATGAATCCTGCCCTGGATGCAGTAAAACGAAGACAGACAAAGCCACGGAGGGACATGTTGAACGATCCCATCCTGAGGTCAATGGGAGGGTATTTTCTGTACAGATTGGCAGCTGCTTGTACATCTCTGGCTCCACTTCCCACCACCCTACCTCCAAAAGATAATAGTCAGCAAATGACTGACTTTCTTCTTTAAAAGATGTGTCTATACCACAGTTAGACAGAATTGCTTTTCAGATGCAATTTCTCTTCATCTGATCTTCATTAATCGCACATCACACTTCATTCAAACACCTCACCATGGATTACTCTCTCAACTCGTGCCATTAACAAAATCACTGCAGTAACTAGATGGGCCAAGTGGCTGTGTCATACATTTACTATGACTAAGAAAAGGGATTATCCATCTCATCGGTATTTATGGGATCTCGACTGTCTATAAAATGATTGATACAATTGTCAGCATGAAAATAATGGTTGCATTTCTGCATAATTTATGGTACAGGTGGATACCCAGATAGGACATAGGAACAGGAGGAGGCAATTCAGGCCATCGAGCCTGTCCTTCTCCCAAACTTGCAACACACTGAACCCTTCATTGCATTTTCCCACCGGTAATCACAAAATCTCTACCCTAAACGTACTCAACAACTGAGTTTCCACGCTTTCTGAACTTAGAGAATTCTGAAGTTTCACAGCCCTCTAAGTAAAATAATTTCTCCTCATCTTGATACTCATTATTATATTGTGCCCCTTGGTTTTAGATTCCCAAACCAAGGGGAAACATCTTACCTGCAGCATTAAAACTCAAGACGTTGGGAGCTTACAGCCCAATGGCCCAAACAATGACTTCGCCAGCTTCGGAATCCCTCCAACCGCAGCTTTATCCCATGCCCAGCCTTCCCCCTCCTCGCCTCCCTGACCTGACCTAACCTGTCCATCTTCTGACTCACCTATCCGCTCCACTCTTCCCTCAGACCGATCACAATAACCTCCTACCTGCATCCGCCTATGTCCATCCCACCTACCCTTATTTCTGGGCTCCCCATCTCCCCGCCCCCCCCGCAAGTCCTGACGAAGGATTTTGGCCTGAAACGTTGACTTTCCTGATCCTCAGATGCTGTCTGGCCTGCTGTACTTTTCCAGCCTCATGCCTATAGACTCTGGCTTCCAGCAGTTGCAGTCCTTATTGTCTCTGAGATCTCACCTCATTTTTTCGAAATGCCAGAGATTACAAGCTCAGTTTTCCCAATCTGTTTTCTGAGGACAGTCCCGTGATCCTGGGGACAAGTCTGGAAGGCAGTCAGATAGGTAGACTGATAGGTGGAGAGATAGACAGATAGACAATTGATTTATTGAAAGGTTCTTATGGTGATAGATGCTGAATTGTGATGATGATACAAATAAAACAAGCAATCATTATTTGTAACAACATTGACAATCATTAAAATAGAAGAAAAGTGTAAAGTAATAAAAAGAATGCATGCTTATGAACATTTCAGTGGGTGAGGTGCTTCTGGAATGTTCTGAGAGGAAGGTTGAAACAGCTGAGCCTCCTCCTTACTCCATCTTGGCTTGTGTTTTGAGATTCCTTGTGGACTGAAACTTGAGCTGGACTTTCATACCTGCAGAAGGACAAGCGCAGCAGACAGACCAACCCCTGCAATTTCCACACACCATCCTGTCTCAGAAATATATTGCGTTCCTTCAGTGTCTTGGGGATCCAGATCCTAGGACTCCCTCTCCAACAGCATCATGAGTGTTCCCCTAAATACCATATGTTGCAGCATTTCAAGGCAGCAGCTCATTTCATCATCTTGAGGGCAAATAGGGATGGGCAATAAATACTGGGCCAGCCAGCGATAGTCCCACTGCATGCATGAAAAAATTAAGAAAAAAATTGGATGATAGATTGTTCCTGTCTCTGATCAAATCAGAACTGTAATATTCCGTGCAAACCTTTCACCAAGACGATGCAGAGAAGCTTCACCCTCTCGATAGGAAAGTTAGAATGATAGAATCCCTACAGTGTGGAAGAGGCCATTCAGCCCATCGAGTCTGCACTGACCCTCTGAAGTGCATCCCACTCAGTCCCACCCCTGTGCCCTATCCCTGTAACCCCGCATTTCCCATGGCTAACCCACCTAGCCTGCCATCTTTAATGCTGTGGGAGGAAACCGGAGGGAACTCATGCAGATAAGAGAGAATGTGCAAACTCCACGCAGACAGTCGCCTGAGGGTGGAATCGAACCTAGGACCCTGGTGCTGTGAGGCAGCCGGATGTTACCTGTGCTTTATCGGACCTCTGGCATGTGGCAATTTGTTGATAGCAGCAGAGATGCTCCTGTTCCTCACTTTGTAAGCTACCGCTGACATGTTTTGTCCCAGTCGATATCAGGACCTGGGGAGAGAGGGAGGGGCACTCTGGTGCTATCTGCAGTGGCAGTGCCACCATCTCAGAGTCTAGGAGGGATCCTAGTTTGATTAGGGAAGGTCAGCAGTGACAACCCTGAACAGCTCATCAGTGAACGCATTGATTTTCCACTTTTCCCCTGTTGTGAGTTTTCCTGTAGTATTGTTTTGGAATTGTACTTAAAAATGGGAAGTGAAAAGCCTTTAAAGGTGTGATGTCAGTTTTAAGAACAAAAAGAACAAGGGAATATCCTTTCATTCAGTATAATTGCACCACGATCTCAGTGACGTTACAGTGGCCTTTACGCTAAATCTAGGATGTGAGGTTCATCACTTCACGCTGCCCCTGAGATTATGATCTGACAGAGGTGAATGCCATTGTCGATGGGAAGATAAACAAAGAAAGACACTTTTAAACTATTGGGGAATCAAGCTGCTGTACCTCCGAGAGATGCAGAGACAACATCAGTTTGTGTGTCTGAAAAGCAGCTATGTTCACTGCTTTCAAATGTCTACAGCTCTTCTGTGTGTGACCACACCCAGTCTTGACCAGCAGCACAGAGAACAGCAAAAAGTCTAACAGGCACTAACCAAACATCGAGGAAACGCTTGAACTTGACATAAAGGAATGGGCAGAGATTCAAACTTGTTAAAGGTAGCCTCTAGAGGGATGGTAGGAAGAATGATCGACAATAATGAAACAAAATCACGTCTCTACGCTGGTCCCACTTTCTGGAGACTGGCCCATAGTCTTGAATGTTATGACGCTTCAAGTGCTCATCCACATAATTTTTAAATGATGTGGAGGTGCCGGTTTTGGCCTGGGGTGGACAGAATCAGGAGTCACACAACACTGGGTTGCGGTCCAACAGGTTTATTTGAAATCACAAGCTTTCAGAGCGCTGCCCTCACCTGATGAAAGAGCTGCGCTCCAAAAGCTTGTGATTTCAAATAAACCTGTTGCACTGTAACCTGATGTCGTGTGACTCCTGACTTTATAATTTTTAAAGCTTGTGAGGTTTCCTGTCTCTACTACCCTCCCGGACATTCCACGTTCCCACCAACCTCTGCACGGAAATGTTTTTTCACCAAGCCCACCCCCCCCACCCCGAAACCTTCTGCCCTTCTCCTTAAAATTTTGCCCCTTGTTATTAACCCTTCAACTAAGAGGAACAGCTGCTTTCTGTACACCCTGTCCATGCCCTTCATAACCTTATATACCTCTACCAGGTCCCTCTTAGGCTGATCCAAAAGAAAACAACCCAGCTTATCCAGCCCTTGCTCATAGTTAAGATGCTTCATCCTGGTGAATCTCCTGTATCCCCACCAGTACAAACACATCCTTCTTATAGTATGGTGACCAGAAATGCACCCAGTATTGCAGCTGTGGCTTACCCAATGTTTTGTACAGCTCCAACATAGCCTCCCTTTGTAGTGATTGGAACCAGGTTGACCTTGTTGACTCTGATGGCATTGATTGGGATTGTTAACCTGGGCCAATCAGGAATGCCCTGGCTGACCAACATAACCAGGACGTTAGAATCTCCTTAGTTCAGGGGCCTGACTCTGAGCTGGCTGGGCACAGCCAGTGTACTGTGCGCAAGTACATAAAGGGTGAATTAGTGACGGGATACCAGCCTCTGTGCAGTTATTTCACCTTGCCACCACTAAACTTACCAACAATGAGAGCAGAGGATTCTGCCCATCATTTCAGAGTGAACTCTGAGTTTTATTGTATCCAACTAGCTAAGTTCCAAATGTAAGCCTAGCTCTATGTAATCTAAAGAGTTTAAACTTTTCATAACCAGGAGATTTAGAATCTCCTCAGTTCAGGGGACTGACTCCAAGCTGGCGGAGCACAGCCAATGTACTGTGCACAAGTAAATAAAGGGTGACTTGGTGATGGAATACCAGCGTCTCTGCAGTTATTCCATCCCTTCTGTTATAATCTATGTCACAACTGATAAAGGCAAGTGTTCTGTACACCTTCTTAACCACTCTATTAATCTGCCCTGCCACCTTCAGGGATCTGTGGACAAGTTCCCCAAGATCCCTCTGTTACTCTGAGCTTCCTTATGTCCTGCTGTTCATTGAGTTCTCCTTTCTCTTGTTACTTCTTCCTACTGATTCATACCACTGTGATTGTGGTCAATAATCAATACCAAATCAGTCCATCTGGTGATCTTCTTGCTGCTTGTGAGCACTTACTGTGGCTGCTTTATTTCCTGCAAGTAACTACATTTGGAAAGCATAATTAATATGCTTGTGAAATGCTTCAGGACATCTTAAGGCCGTGAAAGATGCTATGTAAATTCAAGTCATTTAGACAGTGTGTCTTATTCTTTTCTTTTTAAACAGGTATCCCCTGTGGGTAATCCTCAGGAGCAGCCAGTCTGGGATTATTCCTTTCTGTTCCAAGGCCGGGAATGTGCTACCATCTTCACTGCAGGATCTGCACTCGTGCTGGAGTACTATTCCATCACCAGTGGTAGGCTTCCCAGGATTCTCCAGCGTGAGATGTGAACAGTACAGCTGTGATTCCCCTGGGGCAGATTGGAACCTCATCGGTTTACTTAGCATTCAGTGAGCTTTGAGTGTAGGTCCCTGGGGAAGCACAGCTTCTGTTGTCTTATCTCATCTGCATTCTGTTTTGTCATTGTAAAAACTGGAGCGGTAAAAAGTCACAATCCCAGTCCTTTACAGGCCCCTGTGTCTGCCTTGGGGATAATTGGTCCCATTGGTGTCTCAGTTAGAGCCATCATAAAGATATCACAGTCAATAACAGCACCATGATGTCATGATCTGAAGGCATGATGATGTCACTGATCCAATGATGTCACAGCAGTCTGCTGCTGTGATGTCATCGCCAGGGAAGAGCGGGTCAGATCTGTGAAGCATCTGTTGCTGCGTAGATTTCTCTGTGGAAGTGGGGCATGATAAGGTAAACAGGGATGTCACGAATACCCACAATTCACTCTGCATCCATGTGATGTTGCTGATGAGTTATACCACTGAGGCATAAATGGATCGTGATGCAACAGTGACATCACCAGAGCTTGCGCTACTTAAGGTGTTGTGTCACAATTATGCCACTGGACGGTGACATCGCCATGCCACTATTGAACTGGTGTCACAATGACGTCATAATGACATTGTTGGGCGGTATGAGATTGTGATGATATCATCGAATATTACATCATAGTGAAACAATGAAATATGGGATTGAGATGATGTAATCAGAACATCATGTAACTGAAGTATGAGATTGTGGTGACATTGTTGGAATGTGACATCACAATGACATAATTGATGTTAGGGATCGTGATGATGTTCTCGGAATATGACATTATAATGATACAACGGAAGCACAATGTTGTGATGATGTCACTATCATGATCATACTGTGTGTCAGGCAGGAAAACTATTTTATCAATGCATTCCATACCAAATGCATTCACACACCAAATGTGTGATTTTATCTAACCTGTTTATTTAAAAGAGCAAAATTATTGTATTAAAATAGAACAAATCTGTAACCCTTGTCCCGAGGGCAGATCCATTGTATGTTGGGGAGACAGGTTGGGAAGGCAACTGTCTGGAACTGTGTTCCCAGTTCCTTGGAAATGAAACTTGCAGCAGAAAAAAACAGCTTTCTCAGGCCATCTCTTCCCTGGTTTGTGGAGAATCTGACTGGTCCTTGTGAGTCAGTCGCTTCCTAGAAGCTTTTAGACAGAAGCCATTAACCGAGAGACAGAGCCATTTTCATTCCCATAGGTAATGAATTTAAAATTGCAGAGAGAGTGATCCTGTCTTTGTGTAAAAGAGAGGGAGGGAGACAGGAATTGTGGCATGGGGGGAGGGAACAACTCAGAAAATGACAGCTTGTTCACTTCACAAATGTACATGTGCAATTCAGCAGTTGGTTGGTTTAATATAGAAGTGTGTTTCCTGTTTACTGATGGTCTCACAGTAAGGTTGGACTTGCTCGTTTCTACATTGAGTACTGTTTTAAAGATGATGGGATTCAATCAGTCCATGTGAGGCTGTTAGCTTTAGAGTAGCGTCCTCAACTCAGTGCCTTGTTTTGTAGCACGTTGCAAAACTCAGTGTCTCCCTCGACACAGAGGTGTGTGTTCGAGTGTGTGTGTGTGCAGACTTGTTCTCAACACCAACTTCCAAATGAATGTGTAAACAGGTGTTTATTTCTTGAAAGATGTTTTGCTTAATGTTTTATAAAAGACCCTCAAGGTCCAGCCCCTTAGTTGGATGCAACACTGGAAGTTGATAGTTAGGCTGTTCAAAAGTGGTTGTGAAGTTCTTTTTTAGAATGGGTCATGGAAATCTGGGACGTTCTCTGCTGAAAGGCTGCCATGAACACAGAGGAGTAAACAGCGTGATAGGCCACTCAGCTCCTCAAGCTTTCTTCACCATTCAGTAAGATCATGGCTGGTCTGACTGTGGCCTTGATGCCACGTTCCTACCCAAACTACCTCCCAGCCCTGATAACTTCTCACTGCCCCCCTCCCCCGCATAATCAAAGACCCCTCCCACCTCAGTTATAATCTCTTCCAACCTCTTCCGTTGGGCAGAAGATACAAAAGCTTAAACACATGTACCAACAGATTCAAGAACAGCTTCTTCCCTGCTGTTCTGAATGGACCTTACAAATTTTAAATTTAATGCTGATCTCGCTCTTTGTGCACCTTCTTTGCAGCCATAACATTGTATTCCTCGCTCTGTTCTGTTATCCTAATTCACTTTGTATGGTATGATCTGCCTGTACTGGACGCAAAACAAAACTTTTCACTGTACCTAGGTACATGTGACAATTATAAATTAAACTAAATCAAAATCAAATTAACATCTCACCTTCTTTATCAAGGATCTATTCACTTTCCAGCTCTGCCTTAAGTACGTTCAAAGACTCTGCTTCAACTACCTTTTGAGAGCAACCAGTCATGTTGTAACTGTGTCCAGTTTTGGTCGTGCAGTTATAGGAAGGATATTATCAAACTGGAGAGGGTTCAGAAGATATTTACCAGGATGTTGCTGGGCATGGTAGGTTTGAGTTATAAAGAAAGGTTGGATAGGCTGGAGAGAGATAGTAGGAACTGCAGATGCTGGAGAATCTGAGATAACAAGGTGTAGAACTGGATGAACACAGCAGGCCAAGCAGCATCAGAGGA